TGCAAGCTTTGAAGCAGCCGCACCATGAAAAGGTCGATTTCTCTTGCTTACCTCGATTTGGCTGTCAAGCGTATAAGCTTATCGATCCGAAACCGGAAAAGTTTAAAGCAAGAGCAGAGAAAGGGTGGTTTGTTGGCTTTCCTAAGAATACCAGCAAAAATTATTTGATTTACCATCCTCGCTGGACCCAAAAACATGGCTGGAAATGGATAGAAAGTTGTACTCCACACGTCACTTTCAATGAGGATATCATGTTCGGGGATATGCTCACCAAATCAGACCAGCAGAGAACCTTTGATTATTGGGCCAGTGAAAATCCATTACCTGTCGAAGGAATGCAAGAGAGTACCTTGCAGAATCCTTCTCAGAGAGATCAAACCAGAGACAGGTTTGAGGGGGAGCCGCTATCTTCGTCGATCAGTCAACCGAATATAAATTTGCCTGAGATTTCGAATATGAGAGAAGAGGGGAATCAGCAGCTGTCAGAACAGCAGGATTTATCGCCACCTGTCGTTCCGGAATTATTTAGTGGTCAGGAGTCATCAAATCAGAAAGTGCCTCCAATGGTTCCACTGCAGACCATTCAAACGGCGTCAGACAGTCAACAACAAAGACCTGATAGACAAGAGACCATAATATCTTCGAAAGATAAGCCAGTATCACAACCTCCGGCTGTTCCTGTAATTCGTGATGGGCAATGGCCACAAGTATCAGTCGTGAATGATAAACTGATTTCAATTCCACATCGATCAGTTAGGTCACCTTCCGTTGATAGTGCCAGTGAATATGATAGCGAACATGCATCGATAAGTCCATCCGAGAGATCTGATCAGCTAGGACAGAGAGATGATACTGAGGAAGCTGGTCGTCAGTCAGATGAGAATCAGGTCTCCCATAGGGAAGGGAACTTACAGTCCGATCAGGGAGAGATTGGGCCAGTTGTTGAAAATACCGAGCTAGAAGAGGAGGTCTATGACAAAATAATGACAGGATGGGATGAACTACCTCCAATAGCGGGACATAAGCGTCATCACTCGGTAGAACCTCCAGTGACGCGCAGCAAGCGTGGTAGACCAATTAAGAGAGTTGATTATTACAAACTTCACCACGGCAAAGCGACAAGACCTCACAGTGATCCAAAATCGTGGTCAGAGGCGATGAGTAGCCAGGAAGCGAAACATTGGAAACAAGCGGCAGATGAGGAGTATCGCTCTTTGCGGGACATGGGAGTGATTAAAATTATAAAGCGTAGCCAAATACCAAAAGACCGAACGCTTATGAAGAGCAAGTGGGTGTTTAAAAAGAAACTGCTCGCAGACGGATCCCTCGACAAATACAAAGCGCGATGTACCGTTAAAGGGTTCACCCAACGTCCGGGCATAGATTATAAGGAAACATTTGCACCCACACCACGAGCAGAGACTGGGCGGATCATGCTGGTCCTGGCACATAGGTTCGGTTGGTATAGGCAACAAGGAGATGTCCCGGCAGCATTTTTGAATCCAGATCTAGATATAGATCTATATATGGAGATGCCAGAGGGATTCAAGAAAGAGGGTTACGTTGTCCGTATTAGAAAAGGTCTGTATGGGCTCAAGCAAGCCGCAGCCTTATGGTACGATGATGTTAAAGCTTTCCTAGCCCATCAGGGGCTATTCCCATTCACAACAGACGTATGCCTTTATGGTAATAAAGAGAAGGATTTGTTTGTGATAATCCACGTCGACGATTTTCAGGTGATGGGACCGAGTATTGGGAAAGTAGAGAAGTTGATGAAGGCCTTGTACAAGAAGTATAAGCTGAAGACGGTGAAGACGGATCTATTCCTGGGGATTCGTATTAGTAACCCAAATAATAAAACGCTTAAATTATCGCAAGGCCAGTACGCGAGGAAATTACTCACAAGGCATGGACTAGAGGAATGTAAGCCAGCAAACTCGCCACTTGAGCGCTTAATGGAGCCCAATAGCTCTCAGTGTTCACCAAAACAGAAGGCAGAGTATAATTCGATCGTGGGTGGGCTACAGTATCTTGCGAATAACACACGTCCCGATATAGCCCACTCCGTCAACCATCTGGCACGATTCTTAGCAAATCCATCAGACGAGCATTTCCTGGCAGCAAAGAGAGTTCTTCGATATATTTCGAAAGATCCAGAGAAAGGGATAACCTTCAAGACGGAGAAGAGAAGACCAATTCTAGAAGCCTACTCGGACGCAGATTTTGCCGGTGACCCAAATTCGAGCAGATCGACATCGGGTTCCCTTATTAGATTAGCATCGGGGCCAGTGAGTTGGAGATCTCACTTACAACGAGAGGTTGTTTTATCAACAACAGAGGCGGAGTATTTAGCCGCAACGGAGACATGTCGACAGCTGCAATGGGTTAAATCATTACTAATCGAATTAGGCCTTGCTCAACTCATTGAAGGGTCGGAACGAACGAATTTGTACGTCGACAATCAATCCGCGATGTCACTGATTAAAAATCACGACAACCATAAGCGCTCGAAGCATATTGCTTTGCGGAATAATTACTGTCGCCAACAATATCAACAAGAAGCGATTGCAGTGATTTATGTGCCATCGGATCAACAACTTGCGGATAGTCTGACAAAGGCAAATTCTTCAGTACAAATAAAATGAGTGCTGATTCCTCGAAAATGTTCGGCGTCCATCCTGAACACATCAGTTCTAGAATGCAACTTCAAAATTGTTAGACGTCTATTGTCGTCAGGGGGAGTGTTGTGTTATCCATGTAACTTACCATGGTACATGCTTTAGGTCGCGTCATAGCATATGCACGTGACTGTGGAACTAAACCGTAGGGTGTTTAGTGTGTAATGCATGTGTGATGCATGTGTGAGTATACTGGACCAAACTAGAACTAGATGGAATAGAGATAACGGAATCAGCGAGAGACTGATGGACTGAGAGAGAACGAGCTGGTCATTTCTCGTAGGAGAGAAATGATATCATAAGGGAATGTTCTAGCACTAGGCTGTGAACAACACAGTAAGTCTGGAGCAAGATATAAGGAGGTCTCAACCTCCGTCCATTCATTTGTAACTAAGTTTCCTTTATACGAGAATATAGAGTCAAGTCTTACATATCACGAGAACACACGCGACAGCGACTATAGAGACCTACTGTGAGCATAACTTCCCCAAGAGTATCCATCGTCCTGCTCCCATATAGCCTAGTTAATATAACATTAAGACTTTTGCTGTCGGATAACTTGATGAAGTTCCCTCTGCTTAGATAAAGGCGAAAACTATAAGAAGGGAAGTCTTGAGAGTATAAATGGCAGCTTTCGAAGCGGAGCTGCTGGGTTGAGGTTCGAACTGCTGTCGGAAATCAGCGGTGAAAGATTTGCGACAGCTTTCGGATAGGAGCTGTCAGGTTGGGAATTCGACAAGCTTCGGAAAGAGTCTAGGAATTTAAATAAACAGCTTTCGTACTGGAGCTGCCAGATTTGTGTTCTTTTTTCGATTTTTCGGGTCGACTCGTTTTACCCATGGGCTCTCTTTCTTTGAGTCCATCGACGGGCTGGCTACCGGTGCGTTTAGGAACCATCAATCCTCACGAGGGTTTCGCAGCGACCCCGATCTTCAGCACTCGACCTGTGCTTTCCCTAACGAAGGCGATAACCTGCTGTCTTCTCAGGCGACGGCCATTCACTTTTCTTTAGAGGTTGCAACTCATAGGCGATGGCCTTGTCTGGGGTTCAATAAGGTGACGGCCTCCTAGTTGGATTAATTTAGCGCAAGTAGAGCAAAAGCCCTTCTACTTGCCCATAACGAAGATAGTATCAAACTCCGGAGGATACAACGTTATTGCGCGAGCGATAACCCGGGATCATAACCTATTAAGGAAATAATGACTCCTCAGTCATTGAGGTTGTGGAGCGTAATGATTCAAGTAACTACCAAAGTGAAACTAAGTACAGAATTTGCAGTCACATGTATATCGACAACGTGGCCTACTTGATAGCCCCGATCATTCTAAATTCCGACACAACTAGGTATTTAGCTAGATGGATGCGCAGGACCGCGGCTCAGGTTTTGCCGGGGAAACGTCTTTCGGGACATAGAATATTCAAGTTGAGTCAACTGTATGAATATTGCAGATGATTTCATCCCTGAAAACTCTAGAGGTGTGATGGGCAAGAAGATTCGCATCATGCGTTCTAGTAGCCAAAGATTTAGGTCAATCTTAACGATGTTCGCAAAGGAGCTGGCTAGCGGACAAGCACGGGATAATAAGTCCTCCAGCTGTTTACATCACGGATTTCCGATAAAAATATTACCAGTTCAAAGAGTCCATCAAGAGCCATAACCTCCGAAACAAAAAAGTTGCTACATTCAGGGCCGAGAGGACTGTTATCTCGTAAAGTCTCAGAATGAGCAGCAACGCCAAGTGTGGAACAACGTCTGCAGCTTCTACACATCATTTCTCTGTCTCAGAAATTTTTCAGTGCATAAGTGCGACGATAGATTTAATTTCGATATTCTGGTGGCACATAAACTTCATTAACGATTTACTTTTCCGAAGAGTCCTACGGCATTATCTCCATTTTTGTGTGGTCATACCCGAGCCATTATTCAGGTCCACAATGTGCCTTTTATGAAATTGGGAGGATTATTCCGAATTTCATAATAGCTTATAACAAGATTGCATGACTACTCTCGCCCAAGGCCAAGCAAAGATAAGAAATTCGCTTCCCAAATTTGTTTCCAATCCATTTAAATCCACCTAGATACGCCCAATAATCCGTAGACTCCCGAATCGTAAATCAGTTAATTAGTTTTCATGGTTGTAGCATCCATGTCACTGTAAATTAGGTCTGATCCAGATTAGTCTGCAGGGTAATTCAAGGCTTGCGAATCTACACAGCATTAGATTAAGTAGTTGGCTGCATGGCTGTCAACAATAGTGTCAACCTTATTCTACTACGATTCTTTCCAAACTAACGCAGGTGGAGAAGTACACCAGCTGTTTATGTCGTCATACCAGATGCAGTTTATGATAAGACAATCGACCACAATATTTAGATATTTGCACATTATTCTCTTCACAACGATTCTGTTAGTTGGGCCAACAATACAAGCCGATGTAAGTGGTTACATCTGTGATGACCTTGTTGTGTCGCATGATGAGGCAGTAAAGGTCGCTCAGCTCGCCTCTGAATTGGTGAAATCAGTAGATGTTCGCTACAAGTTCCCTGCATTGTTAGAGGATACTCAGCTATTTGGGATAGAGGGTGAGAATCTGTTTGTGGTGCCCTTTAGAAGGTTTGGCTCTCTGCGTTCTGGTGGTACGTTTGGCAATTTAATACTCCTTTTCTCATCTTTCTGGCTTACCATTACCTCAGGGCACAAAGGGCGGGATCGAGTTGTCATAGATGCCTATGGCAAATTTATAGGTGTTATTTATGATACTAACGATGCAAACGTTAATCCTTTGCCTGCCTATCGAAAATGTAGGCCATTTCTAGATGACAATCACCTAGAACTTGAAAAATATATAGACGATGGATACCAACTTGCTGGGTTTGCGTGTGGCTCGAATTTTTTAGACCGTGATGTCGAGACTAACATGCACAATAAATGTGTTGAATATCTCAATTCACCTCCAGAAATTCAAATTAAATTCAAGTTTTCTCGGAATAGATGTGTATCTCGGGGAAATAATGAGCTTTGGTTTAGATATGACACTGATAAAAATTATGATAATAAACAAACAAGTACGTGTTTCTACCTTTGCTAGTTTCGCCCTTTAGCTAATGAATTTTGACCAGAAGCTCCTAATTCGTTCAAGGTGAAATTTAATACACTATGTACATTTTTAAACATAGAACAGATATCCAAAATTAACTCGAATCAGAAGCCATGTTTACATACATGGACTGCGATACCACCAGCAGAGGCCACTATGACTGACTCTTTGTTTGATACTCAAAGCACAAATTATCTAACTAGTAATGAATTTTATGCGTGCAAAAACCACGTATTTAGGATATCAAGCATCCAAAACTATATATTCCGTATTTTTAGTTTACTGATCGATAATTCGCTTCCAAATATAGAACGCATGATGCAGAGGCAAGATGATAAATTGATATTGTGGCCCATGCCTTTGCCCGAGAGGCACGTACCAAGTAAAACGCTCCTGCAACTTCCTTTAACTACACTAACTTAATAGGCTTAAAATATCCACTCGCATTCTCGATTGGATTTGATGATAGTAATCAATTTTCTGGAATCTACGTTGTGAGGAGCCATGATTGGGCTAGGTTAAAAGCAAAACCGTGCCCAAACTTCAATCTTTTAAAATCTCGGCTCAGCGGAGGCGGGTCTGCATGAGAAATTTGGCGGAATAAGATAGATTTCCCAAGATTTTGCTCGACTTGAACATGGTTGGGATTATCCTCATGTCAGCGATTTCAGTACAATTTCATTTCTCATGTTGTGCAACATCGAAATCGCTTATTTTGCAGCCCGGACAAGAGTTTTAGTTTCGGTTTGGTTTGGTTTTATTATACTACCAAAGTAATCTAATATCCAGCAAATTTGCATCCTCTTCGGCCCAGGTTACGCCACGTACAGTGCTGCAATTATCTTTTGTTACGAAAAAAAAACGGATCAAAGAATAAGCCTTTAACAAGTTGGAAATCTCAGAAAGGCAATGAGCGAATATCCGGTTAAGCGTTCCTGATAAACTTGGATATTCATAGTTAAATAAATGTAGTACGTTCAAAACGCAAAACTATGATCTATTGTTAAGTATAGCTCAGCGGAGACAAAGACTAGATTCTTTACTTTTTAGTTATTTCATGTGTTTGATGTTATCTAACTATGTCACACGATAACTCTCTTATTTACTTGAGATGACTCTTAAGCTTCACAGTAACCCAGACTCTGGGTTTGTTTTGGAAAACGTCTTAAAGGTATGTTTGCTTACGCAGCACAGACGACCCTCCACCGTGAGTGCTCACCAAAGGGAATTTCTGAGCGATGAAACTCTACAATTTTATTAGTATCCCCTGCGATCCTCCATATCTCACACTAGAGTCTACAGAGAAAAGATCGAGAAATACCTTTGTCCTCGCTTTGATGAGAATTCTCAACTGCTTTCAGAGTCTGTGTCGTCTTCATCTCTCAACATATCCCCGCTATCAACACTATCATGAAGTTAACCACGATCAGGTCAGATAGTAGGGTCGGAGCCCTACTCACTATCCACCCTTGTTAATGCTGGGGATTCATCCGTTTAGTTTCCGGCGCGTAACTGGTCACCAATACGGCGATGGTATATTGTATCAAGTTAATCTCTAATGTTTTGAAGAAGGGAGATATAGATGGATATGCACATCTCATGTAATCCTAGTATCTAGGCCTCGCCTGGCTGGTGCTGTAGATCTCTGAATTATTCCTGCACGCGCAGTTTCCATTTATACCATTTTTTCAGTAGAGAGTTCCCTGGAAAAGGTGGATCAAATTTAAAAGTAAATACTAAGCTGTGAAGAAGAGCCTTGTGGATTCTGCTCATCAGGCAGTACCCCCTACAGTCTCAGGGTCGCCAGTCCCACTAACATACGCGTCGGTCGCTGCGCAGCTAATGGCAAAACAGCGGTTAGAATAGGCGTCGTTGGAGCGAAATATATGCAGTTAGCAGAGTTGCTCACAAGGTCACAGAAAAACATGTTAGAGGCATATGTGGTACGTTCGACATGGAGTAACAATAACGATGTATTTGTTCAATCGGCGAGTCAAAGAGATACGGCTCTCAACTTGATGGAACCAGAGGAGTTTCAGGACCTTCGGCAAGACATTTTTGACGAGGTATGCGGAGTCCCGTTGAGGAAGAAGATACAATGAGGCAAATAGACCAACAGCTCGGCTCTGACTATGGAGATCGAGGCGTCTACATGAGTCAGAATTCCAGGAGTAACTGTAAACAGAATAAGATGAATGCACAATGGAAAGGAGCTCGAGCGGGCCATAAGAAATAGTCGCACAAGGGGGTCGACAATTTTGAGCCTCACAACACAGGCCTTACAAAAACAGATAGTCCGACTCGGCATTTAACTCATTGCAATGCTCAACTCGGCACAGGTGTGGTCTCCAAGGGCCCGGCCAAAGTAGTGCTAAAATTGCAGCCCATGGGGAATACGCAGGCGTCGTGCGGTAAGGCAGCCAGATGTAGCGAGTGCCCTGGTGCTCATCATACTCGGGATCTTCCGAGGAAGAGTGCTTCTTGCACAAATTGCGGCAAAGAACATCATTTGTGATAGAGAGTGGTGAGTTGAAAATTTTAGGCCTACAAGGGGAGTGCTTAGAAAGCCCGTTTCGAGCTCTCGGAGCGAGCTGCTGAGACTTTACGGGAGAATATCCTGTGACAGGCGAAGTGTATGTGTGTGTGTGTTTTATTGTACTACTTGAGTCTATGACTATCTAGCACATTGGGCTCCTCTCTGACCCAGGCCACACCTTGTACAGTGCTCCTATCCTCTTTTGTTACTTGAAAGATCATTGATATATTTCCCTTGATGAATAGCCATTCAGCTCAGTATTTACCCGTGGAATTCTGCCACCTTTTCCACGGAACCTTCTACCCAAAAAAATAAAAATGGTAGCAATGGAAACTGCGTGCGCGGGAAAAAGTCTCAAAAAACCTGCAGCCCCAGCCAGGCGAGGCCTAGACACCGGGACCACATGAGGTGCGCATATTCATCTATATCTCCCTTCTTTGTAACAGTCGAGGCCGACTTGATCCAATCCACCATCTCCGTATCGGGTGCTGGGTACGCTCCGGAAACTCATCGGATGGCTTTTCCTCCATGATCAAGGGTGGGTGACGAGTAGGGCTCCGACCCTACCATCTGATCTGATCGTGGTTAGCTTCATGATAATGGTGATAGGGGAATGTGTTGAGAGATGAAGACGATACAGACCGCGAAAGCGATTGGGAATCCTCTTCGAAGTGAGGACTTTGTTACTCAATCTCGGCTCTGCAGACTCTACAGTGAGAGCTGGAGGTTCGTAGGGGACACCACTGACAGGTGTTGAGAATAGTCCCCCGCAGGCGAAGTGTATGTAGTTAAAGAAAAAGATAACTCAGTAAAAAGAACAGAATTCCTATTTCTCCCGGAATTCTAGGACTATGTACACTGGTCATGATTGACTTGATCTCTAAATATAGATATGCGCTAGGAATAGAATAACCTGCGGTTCTAAATACAGAATGCTAGCACTGACCGAAGCAAACAACCCACGTATGCATGGATAGTCCCTATTTTTGACCTGAGACACTTGCCCGTCCAACTTCTTCGATAGTTTTTCTTCGCCTTCGAAACATCCCAACGATGGCAACAAAGTTGTCAATAACTACTGATAATGTGGGCCTCACTCCAGTCGCCAGCAGAAAAGTTGACCAACCAAAGAGGGACTAAAACGATCACGTGAGTTGATTGCTGACTGAACGGCGGTACTAAGTACAATGAGATCTATGACGCCGGTGGCTATAGCCATCAAAACAACAAGGAGGACAGAAAATGATGGTGAAACGATCCTTCCCTACTTCACCTGAGAAGTATCTGTTGGGTTAGTGGAGGTTGATTTGTAGTGATATTCAAATTAATGGAACAAAATTATATGCTCAGTATGAAGCTGGGATGCACAATCGTGGTGCAACAATGGGTTTTGTGGCTTGGAAATTTCTCCCTTCTCAATATGGCTTACCGTCTTGATTGTTCTGTAAATTAGATAGCAAATAGCACGCTTTACAAGAAAGAGTCAACCAATCAAATACTAAGGTGAATGGTAATTCATCACGGGCAACATATCAATGATCTTTCAACAAAAAAGGATAGGAGCACTGTACAAGGTGTGTGTTATGGCCTGGATTCCCTGGCCTGAGGCAGAGTTACCAGACTGGATATCCAGCCGGCCAATACCAACTAAAGAGAAAAAATTACGGGGTCATCTCCAAGACCGCCTTTCGGAGCTAGCAATCCTGTGCTTAACGAAATTATCTTGCATAAATTAGTAATATAGGCTTTCGGGAATGATTAGGAGTTAGGGTACAGGAAGAATCCACATATTATTTCCCAGATTAAATATCTGAGGAGATTGGCAATCCAACTCAGATACCCTCATACGATGGATGGTTCAAGGACGAGCCGGAGGTTGTATTAATGAAGTGTTTGATTACAAGAAGCGGAAGAAACGGCCTACTCAGATCTTCAGCTTCGCAATTTGTAATTTTCTCTTCTTTTGATAATAATCAACATTGGTATCTTGCAAGCACAATCATCTCTCCGTAATCTTTGAATTCTTAATTCTAAACCTCCACTGTGAACCTCGATAATCACCTCACATACTTCGAAGACGGCAGATCCTATCCCATTTGCATCGCGTCGTAATAGTGTGGTATGGGTCAGAGAGGAGCCGAATTTGCTAGATATTCACAGATTCAAATAATACTATAGACTCCAAACACACACACTTCAAAGCAGTATTAAATTGGCCCGCCTGCTGGTCGTTATCTCCCCGAATTAAAGTCTGGGTATCCTGGACACCTAGCTCACTCGAGAAGGGAGGACTGTGAGGCCATATCTCGGGTGGCGACTATACACAAGATGACAAAGGCATGTTAGGGTAGCCAAAGGTTTTTCCTGATTTCCCTTTGGTAGAGATCAACGGTTGAGGGAAGGGTGAAAGTCCCCAACACCAAGGTCTCGAGTGGTATCAGCGAATGTACCCACTGCATGAGAGGAGCAAATGTCAAACTGAGTTATCGTTTTTTTTTTTGCATCAGATTTTATTTGCGTATGCAGCTATCTAGCTATGACACAATATCAAATCAAAGTACAGAATAGATGATTCAACGTAAAGGAAGAGCACTCATGCCACGGATTTCATTTGCAAGTACCACTGCGAAGTTATGGCGGCTTTTTCTTCACCCCAAGTCAACCCTCATCCGTGAATACCCACCCAGGGCAACATCTCAACAACCCAGAGTTATCCAGACATGCCTCCGTCATTCATTATCTTTCCTCCGCGCGAAATGTGGTCTTAGGCATCTCCTTCCCAAGTGGAGTAGGTGCTCAGGCTACGTAAACTATACCATAGAACACCACCAGGAGGCGGACCACAACACCTTCCATCATTGACTTGTATTTATAGTGTCGCCTGCACTCTCGCAACCGAAGTCTTGCTGCACGCATAGAGCTTAATTCGTAATTACTCCTTGCCATAATTCGAAATTTCACGTCCTTCGAGGTTATATCCTTCCATTGCATCATCTTGTGAACTTGTCCTGATTCCTCTCACGTCCATCCCAAAGAATATTTTCCCAGATT